TAAAGTACCTTACTAGTACCTAGTAACTCTTAAAAAACTTTTACTAATAACTTTAAAAAATAAAGAATTAAAAATCAGGTTTTAGTTAATAATATTAGCACTATTAAAAGACTAAATATCTAGAATTACTATATCCTCCTTTTAAGTAATAATATTACCTATAAAAGAATTTATATTATTAATAATAAACTAAATACCTTACTTATATAATAAATGCTTTTAATAATAAATATAAAATAATCTTATAATAGCCTTATTAACCTCTTATTAGGCTTTAAGAAGCTTTTCCTTAGCTTCCTCTTCTGCCTATTTTAAACAATTAGATTTATAATTTAAATAAGGAACTAAAAAGAAAAAACAATTAGCAAAAGGCAATAATAATAAGGGAAGCAATATATAATAAGCAATTGCAATACTAAAAGTATTATAAGATTAACCTTATTAAGTATATTTAAAATAATAAGAAGAATGCTTAATTATTTTATAATAAAGGCCCTTAGCCTTATAGAAGGAATAAGGCATAATATTAAAACTAAATTTTATAATTAAATTTACTAAATAAATATACTTTAAAGTTTTATAAGATTTTAATTAAAGATTTTATAATATAATAATTAGTAAGGTATATTAGGAAAATAATAAAAGAAGAGAGTTAGTACTTATTAAAGCCTAATATAAAAATAAGAAGATATATAGGTCTTAAGGGCAAGACTTAATAGAGGGAAGAGATTATATTATAACTTATATAACTATATTATATAGCCCTTATAATTTCTACTTATTATAAAAGGATTACTTCTCTTAGTAATAATCCTCTTTTATTAAATTACTTAAATTATAATACTTTAAGACTAAATTATTATAAATTACTAATAATCCTTAGAGATCTAACCCTTAAATTACTATTAGTCCTTATTAAGTTATTAGGCTACCTTTAGTATATAAAACATATTTATTAGCACTTTTATAAAACTTAGCTTACTAGCTATTAATAAAGTATTTTTATATTAATAAGCCTAATATATATTACTTAATTATTAAGAGATATAATACTTTATAATACTTAGTATTATACCTTATATACCTTATAAATATAAACCTAGTATAGACTAGTTTACCTATTTAGAAAATCTAATTATTATATTATTAGCTTTATTATTATTATTATCTTTATCTTTTTCTTTATATTTATCTTTATTATTATAATTATTAGGCTTATTCTTTTTTTCTTTATGTCTTTTATTTAGATTTTAGTTAAAGCTTTTAATCTCTTATTAAAAAAAAGTAATTAAATAAAGTATATAATATATTATAGTAGTTTTATTATATTTAAGTTATAAGTTATAAATATCTTATTACTAATATATTTTAATATATTAAACTGTAAATATATAATAAATAAACCTTTTTTATATATTAATATATCTTTTTAAGTAATTTATAGCTTTAAATTTATAAAAGTAAAAAATATCTTTTTAATAAGTATTTAACTAATATTAAGATTTATATAAAGTCTTAGTTAATATAAAACTAACTTAATTAATTATAATATTAATATTATAAAGTATAACTTATAGCTAAGCTTTTATAATAGCTAGACTTTAAAGTACTATATTATATTATTAGCCTAATAAATAACTTTTATTTTATATTAGCTTTGGCTTTCTTATTATAGTTATAATAATCCTAAGTAATTAGTTCTATAATAAATAAGGCTATCTTATATATTATAGCTATTATATTATTTTATTTTACTTAATATTATAGCTATTAGATTAATAGTTATATAGCTTTAAAGGCTATATATTTAAAGATAGTTAAGGTAGTTAATACTTTATAATAAAAGTAAATAATTAATAAGATTAAGAGTTAATTAAAGAGGAAGAAATCTTAGTTATAAATATATTAGTATTCATAATGCCCTTATTAAATTACTATAATATAATTATAAAGTATATATAATTAAGATATTAATTTATATATAGGCACTTAGGAGCTAGTATTACTTTATATTATTAAAATAAAGCTATTTATAATAGTTATATTAAAGGAATAAACTAGCTAATAAGAAAGTTTATTATATACTTTTAATTAAAAAAACTAGTAGGGGATTAAAAATAATATCCCTCTTTTAGTAAAAGAGAAACTAGTAGGGGTATAAGCTAATAAGAGATATAGAATTTCCTCTTTTAGTAAAATTGGGATGAACAATAAGGATATAGGCCAGAATATCGTATTGCCCGATCCTGGGGTCCTGAAGGAGGGCGGCCATCACGGTATCCTTCGAATTTCTTACGTTGTACTGCAGTATTGTGAGCGTGTCTTTCGTGGTCATTTTTCGTTGTTGTCAACGTCTATCTGGTAACTGTCGTTTGTTAACTGTGTATTGACGCCTAGGACCTCTAATGCCCGTCTCGATCTTATTATTGTATGTTTCGGTTGGATGTTTTCCGTGGCCATATTGATAGAGTCGGCATTCTTATAGTTTGTTTGGCTGCTTGTTTGGTTTGTCTGCTTCTGCAGCTTCTTGGTGGGCGACTTGCTTCTGCCTGACCGCGCTTCTTGGGATTGGCTTGGTTCTAGAATTGGTTGTCCTGTTCTTGTCGTTGTCGTTTCCCTTAGTTGGCTCTGTGTCTGGGATGTTGGTACCAGCAGTGTTGGATTCTCCGGGTGGTATCTCGGCCGTGCCTTGTATGTAGCCCTCACCTTGGCTAGCTCCTGCTTCCTGGTTGGGCACTGGCTGTTCCATGCCTCGTGCTTGCCGCCCTGGCAAGCGGCGCATTTCTGGGGTATCCTTCTGTTATTCTTTATGGGATATTCTCGGGTGGCGTGTTCTTGCGTGCAGTGGCTGTATGTTGTTGTTTCCTTGCACTGGGTTCCTATGTGGCTATATTTGTGGCATCTGAAGCATTGCCTTAGGCGGCATTGTCTGTAGTATCGTTCATATTGGAATACTTTACCTTGCTAGATGAGGCCCTTGTTGATGATCCTGTTAGCGTCTTCCGCCTTTGCGAACTCTATGATGACAGATGATGCTGACTTTGTGGCGAATGATCTGGCTAGCTAGCTGATGTATTTGATCTCTGTATTGGGGATGAATGGCTTATTATCTTGCAGGAGTCTGTCTCTGATCTCCTTAAAATGTTCTATGTCTATGGAGCTGGTGCGTATTCTGTGCGCTAGAATGCCGTAGGTTGGGATGCGCATGGCGGCGCCGTTGCTGATTCTGTGTTCCCAGTCTTCTGCAAATTGTCTTAAGGCTTCCATGTCTGCGCTTGTGGCTGTTTTGATGCTGAGGTTGCCACTCTTGAACTGGTTGGATGAAACTACTTTGATCTTTTCGATGTGCTTGTTGGTGCTCTATTTAATGGCTCGACCTATGTGTGCCTTTAGGCTGCGTGGACTTATGGCTCTGATGTTGGCGATGGTGACTGGGTCTTGGATGTTTATAATGATTTTACGTAGTGTTTGAATGGAAGATGCTTTATGGTTCTGGGGATTACGGATGCTTGTGGCAAGCCTTCCCCTGGCGGCTATGCTAGCGTATGTGTTTGCGACGTTGCTTTGGTTCAGCTGGCTGATGGGTTTTATGTCCCTGAATATCTTTATTGTTGCTTTGCTGACCTTTATTGCCTCCTTTGCGGCAGAACCTGCAGCCTTTATGATGGCGGCATTCTCCTTGATCTCCGTGATGTTCTGCTGGATTATTTTATTTGTATTATTAAGCTTGTCTCGGATGTTATTAATGGCATGGGTAGTGTTTTCTACTGCTATCTTTGTCTCGGTCTGTGTATTTCGGATGGCTTCGTAGATGTGGCCGAGGTCGGGCGTACCCTGCATTTTGATGATAAGAGAGAGTTTTAATGAACGCGACTTTGACTCCGTGTAGATCGATAGGTTATCCATTGCCGTTATCAATAACAGATAGTGCTGTCTGGAGGTATCTGCTCAGCTTCGTGGCGTGCTCTCGGTAGTCTGTTGGCCAGGTTTGCTCCTAAGGCCACGGGGTCGCCATGGTGCCTAGGTCGTACTGGGCGGTATGATAGGCACTAGGCTATCTAATTAACCCTTTATAGTGTGTTACGGCGCTGCAAAAAGCTGTTATTTTAAAAATTTCGTTCTCGCTGGTGATAATGTTTTTTAGGGCTGATGGTTGCATTAGACTAGCTGGCAGGAGAGTCCCTCCGCAGGATACCTCTCGACCCTTTCGACTATGTTCCAGACTCCCTTAGAAGCGGCCTCGGCGATATCCTTTATATCACCCGCGCCGACCAGTCTGCGACCTGTGAGGCCGGAACCTACGAGCCATCGATGAGTTTCGGGATTACCTATTATACCCCAACTGTGCTTCATGGCTGTCTTCCCATCGTTGATATGTTATTATCCGGTGAATAGCCTAATTAAACCGCTCGGGGCTGATGTGCACCAGGTTAACGCCTCTCTGACCCCTCACGAAGCACCCCTCGTCATCGCATTACATAGGTCTTGAGGTATGTTGCCGTTGGGTTCTTAATCGAATGAATACCAATGATTTTAACTAGCTGGTTTCCGCCTCTTATCCCCTCGGCAGTCCTTTCCCGCTTTGCCCTTCAGATTTAACCCCCGAACCTCTGCCGCGGCGATTAGTCTATTATTTTCCTATGCTAATTGCAATATTCTTGCTGCTTCGTATCACAGAGCCTTCGCTTCGTGTCTATCTACATGCCCAGAGGTAACTTCTCGACTAAACACCCGGCAGCGAGTATGTCTAATTCCTACAGACCAGAGTTATGTCTATCCTTCTGTCATAACGCCGCCTGATCTCTCTTGTTGACAAATCCCGATCATGACCGACAAACCGATCAACGATAGCCTTTGGGCCTGGTTCCTTACGATTTTCGCTGTTAAAGTCTTGACCGATAAACATTTGCCTTGGATATGGAAGCACCCAGGGGGTGCTCTTTGCCTCGAGGTTTTGCATTTAGATAATCCTGTTTGAAAGCTTGGCCGAAGCACACATAATGAGATTTGTTGAGAACTATAATTCGATTCCGATCCCAAAGATCTACTGCGCCTTTATACATCGAGGACGATCGTATATTGTCATGGAGAGAATTGCAGGAGAAGCCGCCGGGCGAGCATGGAATCAGCGGCTGATGGAGGCCAGAGGAAAGATTGTTGGTCAGCTGAAGAGCTTTGCTTAACAGCTTCGAGACATCGACCTCCAGATAACATCGATGTTGCAAACGTTTTCCGGGGGGCTATTTATGACGCCCGCTTGCCAGGGGAACCGTTCTGGGGTCCATACAACAAGGTGCATGACTTTTACAAGGCGCTACGGAATGGTATTAAATTTGATGGCCACGCCGGCGTACCTGAAGACCTCTAAAAGCTAGCTGCATTTCATAAGCGCTCTGGTTCTAGATCCGTGCTAACATACGGCGATCTGAGTAGCTTGAATATCTTGGTGCGAGGTGATAAGGTGGTCGGAATAATTGACTGGAAGACGGCGGGATGGTTTCCTTATTACTGGGAATATGCGCGCGCCTGGAACGTTAACCCGTAGAATCAGTTTTGGCGATAAGAAGTGGACAAGTTTCTGACTCCGATGCCATACGATTATAATCATAGCCTCATTTTCCACTTAACTAAACAAATATGCCTGCCTTGACCAACCGCTTTAAATCGCACCCCGTGAACTATTTGCACCTACCAAACACAGCCGATAAGAAGATCATGAAATCGACATCAGAAAATATCTTAAATTTAATTAATTTACCGCATAAATAAGCCCTCGAGACCTGGCATATAGTTTTGTAGCTCTTGAAGGGCCGTGTTGTGTGAGTGTTGTGTGTTTTGGCGGAGGTTGCAGTTACCTGCTTAATATCCTACTATACTTGACTACCCTGTCGGAAGTTAACGTTGACGTTAATAATTTGTAATGTTTCTGCTTCTAAGCTACCGCGCCTAGGCACCCCGCTGAGGGGGGGGAGATTAGACACGCGCACGCACCTAAAGTGAGAGCAGGTGTTTGCCGGCATGCATTTTAGGATGGTCAGAGTAAAGGAAAATTAGAATTGAAGGCGGCGTAATATGATCTAGAATGACGGTTGTCTCCCTAAAGGCTACCTTCTCGGCTCATCTTAAATATCTCGCGCCAAATCTCATCCTGATAGTACAAGGATGCGAGGTGCCCTCCTGGAACTGTCTTGAGTCTCGAGGTCTTATAGTTGGCAGCCAGCCACCCGTTCGTGCTTCCACCCTGGGGGTCCTTATCGGATCCCACAATCAGCACTGGCCGAGACGCATGGTCGTCGTCGAGCTTGGCGGGTTCAAAGCCCCAATCCGAGTGGATCACATCCGACACCTCGTGGAAGCCGCCCCATTGCTCGCAGCACCGGATGCCTCCCTTGGCGAACGCCTCGATAAATTCCTCCTCTGTCTGGCCCCTGTTGGCGAGGAATTCGGCCAGCTTCTTGCGCTCGTCGCCGTCCATCTTGGAGAACAGGATTTGGTCGAGGAAGCCCTTGGCGCCGTCTAACGTCTTGAACTTGGACGCAAGGACGGTGCTGAGGGAGCGCTGCAGGATGTGGAAGGGGATGAACTGCGACGGCGGTCCCACGCTGATCCAGCTATGCCATGTGAGCGTGCTGGCGTAGTCGACGTGATACTTGAAGGGGGAGAAGCCGCCCATGAGAACACATCCGGCGATCTTGCGGCCCGCCGGAAAGCGGTCATACGGAGCGCCGTAGATCATCTGCGCCTGCACCGTACCGTACGACCCACCGCAGACGTACAGCTTGTCAAAGTCGCCCGTCGGATATAGGTGATTGAGGAGGGCCGTCATGTCCCGTACGAGTGCTACGTGGTACCTGTCGCCCGGCGTCCTAGCACTCGACTTGCCCATGCCGGGCAGCGTGGGATGGATCCAGTGCACGCCCACCTCCCGACATGGCTCGGGCACATCCGGGACAGAGCCGACGCTGTTGAGGCCGGTGAAGCTTAGCACGACGACGCGAGAGGCGGAAGGGCCGTTGTGGGCAAAGGCGAGCTGCCGACCCTCCCCGATGTCGAGAATGTGCTCCTCGGAGCCTTTGACTCTGTCGTATGGGGTGCTCATGACGAGGCCAGGTCAGGTTTGCAACGATGGGGAAACACACGCCTTTCTGGGTGCGTGAGAGCTTTTGAGGGCAAATATGAGACAATGGACGCCAATTGCCAATGTCGCTGCCTACTGTACCAATTACCCCGCGTATCAGGTCCTGATACACGATTTGATGGTCCGTGCCCTAGGTGTTATTCGCAGGTGATTTAAGTTAAATCGGCTAAGAAAATGGGTTAAAGGATTTTTTTACTCTATCCAACCAGAATTTAGTAGTTACTCGCTAACGATTTAACAGTCAGTTTAGGGGGATCTTCTCCAGGGGGGACCAGCACTTAGATTTTCCAAACTACAGCAAGAACTCCTAGTCTCATATAGCTTAACTAGGTACCTATAGGCCTAGATACCTTAAAAATACATTTTTTTTTATCTTAGATCTATTTTATTATTATATTACAGGGCCTAGAATAAACGACCTTAAGGGCTATTAGAGAATAAAGTACTATTAAGTATTACAATTTCCTAATCTAGACTAGTATATCCTTAGTAAGCGTTATATTTTCCTAACCAGGTTAGCCCGTTCTTATTGCTTTAAAATCTTAATATCTTAAGTAAAATCTGCTAATGTTACTAGCTACATAAAGCAATAATAAAGTTCTAATTTATAAATAAACATAACCCCGCTGCGCTACGTCGACGTTATCTGCAAGCGCAACATACCCAGAAAGACTAATAGCAGTAAAAAATAAAGCAACATATTAAGACCCTAAATTATAAGGCCTAGATATCTTATAAAGTTAACTCTGCCTTGGAGAATATGTAGATAAGACTAGGGAATAGTTTGTTAGCTAATACTAGGGAAATTAAACCTAATATAATCTTTTTAAGGGAACTTCCTATTGCCTCTAGTTAGGAAGATAATAATCTAAGTATAATTAATACTTAACTACATTATTATAATAAAGAGATAGTTAATACTTATAATACTAAGAAGTATAAAAATTAAATAAAGCCTAGGAGTTTAAATATCTTTATTAAAATATAAATAAGTCTTTCTTATAATAATACTTAAAATACTTTATAATCTATTATATAAAAGTTTATTTAATAATATCTTATTAAAGTATATAATTATAATACTTAGGAGTATTAAGAATCTTTAGTAATATATATAAAAGCTAAGGGAATGTTTAATTATTATAAGATTATAAATATATTTCTTTATAATATACCTTATATACTTAATAAATAGTATTTTCTTAAATTATAAACTTATAATAAAATACTAAGCTAAGACTATACTTAATAATAAGAGCTATTTTTTAATTATATACCTAGATAATTTAAAGGCAAGCTTAAATAAGTCTATTTTTATATTAAATATTTATAATTAACCTTTTTAATTATTTTATTTAATATTAATAATATCTTAGGATTTATAACTTTTTTTATAATAGTAATTTATAAGATATAATTTTATTTTACTTTTTAATATAATTAAAATATTTTTATAAATATTTACTTAATCTTTAAATATATAAATTTAAATATAAAGCAGGCCTAGTTAATTCTATTATAACTAAGAGATATCTTATATTTTATCTTTATAAGGGCTAATGGCATTAATTTTATATTTTATTATACTCTTATAACTTTAATTAGTTAATTAATAAGTAGCTCTTAAGTTAGTTTAATAATATCTTCTATCTTAATATTTATTAAGTTTATAATATTAATAAACTCTAGCACCTGCCTATAAGTTATTATTATATATTAACTACTTATTAAACTCCTTAAGTAAAGGATTATTTACTTAATACTTCTAATTATTAGGCCTAATTATAAATATCTTACTTCTTACTACTATATAGTTTATAATAACTATAAAATTATATTTTTATAATAATATATTAACTAAGATATAAAGACTTTTATAATATAAAACTATATATAGAGGCAAAAGGTATTAAACTTTTATTTAAATACCTAAATATACTATATAATTTACTAGCAGTTATAAATAACTTTAACTATAAGCTATATTATATTTTAGACTTTTCTTATATATATAAGAACTAGCTATATATTAATATAAATAAAAAGACTTACTTAATACTTAATAAAGTTCTATTACTTAAACCTTAAATATATCTTTAGTAATATTATTATATTTACTATTACCTTAATTAATTATATAATAAAAATATTCCTATATCTAGCTAAAACTTTTATTATAAGTTAATACTTTAAGATATTAATAATATAATTATATTAATACTTATAAGGTCTTAACTTTATTATAAAAATATTTTTATAACTAGATATATACTCTTATTAAAGAGATTATAAATACTATATATATATATCTATTTTAGAATTTAAATTTATAGCTTTTAGTATTAGACCTATAGCTTTATAATAGTATATAAGGCATTAGCAGTAAGCCAGTATTAAATAAGAATATTACTAATTAAGCATACCTGGCCAGTAAGCGCTATTATTACTATAACTTAATAAATTTTAAATAATAATTATTTAGTATCTATAAGGAATATTATATATTATAGGTCTTATTCTTAAGTATCTTAGTAATATTACACTCTGTTGCCTTTAAAGCCTGCTTTATTTAATTACTAAGACTTCTATCTTATTTATAAATAGTTTATATATCTATTTTTATTAATTATATTTAGTATAATAATAAAAAGTTTATAACCAGGTTAAAGTTAGTTTAAGCTTAATATTCTAGGGGCTTAATAGTATAAGAGTAAATTAAGATAATAAATATATTTTTTTAGTATCTCTAGGTTATAATTAAAGGGTATAATTACTCCTAAGAAGAGGCGCTATAATACAGCAGATAAGAGCTATTATAGCTACTAGGCTTTTTATAAGTATATTATAACCTTGGCTTTAGTTAAATATTACAGTAATATAGTTATTATTAAATTAAGTCTTATATTAACTAGACTATATTAAGGTTTCTCTTAAATATTATTAATTTAGTTTTTTTTAGTAATAATACATTTTATTAATAATATATAAAATATAATAGTTATACTAGGTATTTCTTTAGCCTTAGTTATTATATTAACTTAGGTCTTAAGTAGCTTTAGTAATATCCTAGGAAAATATTATTACTAATTAGATTGTGTTATAGCTTTATTATATTTATTTATAGTAAGTAAAGGCTAATATCTTTTATTTTATTTAAGGTAACCTCTGCCTACAGGTTTATATAATAATCTTAAATAATTATATTTAGTTTTATTATAAAGGTCTTCTAGCTATTATAGTTAATAATATAGCTATAATATTAGGTAATTATATTTATATTAAAAACTTATAGAAAGTTGCCTAAGTATTATTTAATTTAAATAATAATTAATTATAATACTATTAGGAAAATAAATTATTTTAAAAGCTTTATTAATAAATACATATTATATTATAATATATTTTAATAGAAAATAGGCTATTATAAGTATTTAACAAGAGTAGTCCTTTAGGTGGGTTAAAGGAAGAAGGTTAATCTAGCTGCTAAGAGACCTATAGCTAGTATTTATACTGCTTAATTAAGGCAGTAATTGCATTATTAAGGCAGGTAAACCTTATCTAATATTAACTTCTATTATAATAGCCTGCTATAAAGGTATCTTTATTTATATTACTAATACAAAAGCTAAAAAGCTAGATAGCCTCTTATAAGGTTAAAAGTAAAGGAAAAAAATAAATAAGTATTTAACTATTAACTTTATTAATACCTTTTTATATATTACTAAGTATTCCTATATCTTATATTAAGAGGATTAGTACCTAGGACTAAGGATAGTAAGTGCTAGTAGTTTTTAATAGATATTTAAGGTAAAGTAAAACTTATAATAAAGAAAGCTTTTTAAGAAAGCTAGTATTAGCCAAGAACCTGCTAGCAGCTAAGTTACTTAATACCTCTGTTAAACCTAGGATTAATAGCAGTCTTAGGTTTATTATTATATTAGCCAAACTTTATTATATAAAGTATAAGAACTTTATTATAGTTAAAAGAACTTTACTTTTAGCTTATTAAATAAACCTAGTAGTTTATAGCAAAATCCCTTATAAAGTATTTATAACCCTATTATTTAAGATTAAAGAAAGAGTTATAATAATAATTCCTTAACTTTAAATTTATTTAGTATTAAAAGCCAGGCGCATATATAACAGGTAATCCCAAGCTACTTATAGCCCGAACTAGAATTCTAAATATATTAATAGGTAGAATAGTATATAATAAGTCTTTAAAAGCAGATTGCAGATAGATATATATAAGTTTTTAAGTTATAAAAATTACCTATACCTTAGTTAATAAAAAGGCATATAATAAGCTACTATATACTATACGAGGCTATATAACTAAGACTTACCTTAAGGCTATAAAAGGCTATATAGCTAAGATTTACCCTAAGGCTACTACTACTAGTATAAGTAACCTTTATTTTAAGGTTATAACTTACTCCCTTATGCCTCTTATAATTAACTATATAAGTATATTATATAATCTGTAGTAATTAATAGCTACCTTATAGTAAAGGAAATAGATATTAAATAGTATTTAAATAAGGTTAACTTATAAAGTATATAAGTTATAAAAAAAAGCAGTAACTAATATTACCTAAAGTTAAGACAGGAGGCAAGCCTAATTGCAAATAGAGCTTAATTAATAAGTAGAGGACCTTTCTAATTCTACTAATTTACCTAGTAGGTAGTTTATATATATTAGTATAATTTAATCCAGGAGAGGATAAAGAGGAAAAATAGCAATAATCTAACCATGCCTAGATAAGCCCGTTTAATTAATTTAATCTAGGTTAGGATTACTTTATAGAGATCTAGTAGCTATTTCAAATCACTAAGGTCCTAACCTGGTTCAAGATATTATCTCTGATACGACCCTGGAGGCCTCTCTACACATGGGGGAAGGTAAGTCAGGTCCAATTCAGCATTTCGCACAAGAGCTAGCAGAACGACTTATTAAATTCCAAGGATGCTACACCGAGTGCCACCAGGCAGCAAAACATAATCATATAGAAGATACAAATGAACATATCAGCCTTACTATATACCTAGGCACTGGGTACCTGGACTGCTTCCGGGGACAAGTTAATCTCCGTAAGACTAAGATTACATGCCTAACCTGGATCTGCCAGACTATCTGTAGTTCCTCCTTCATGGGCAATTTAACATATTTCTACGAACAGGCCGGTCTTGCAGATTCTTCCGCTTTCGACCTGACGATCGCCCAATTCGCCCTGGGGTTTATTAGTACGGTGCTGTCCTGGCCGTTGATGGCCCGGGTAGGTCGCCGCAAGATCTACGTATGGTGCCTCCTCCTCCTTACTGTGATCCTCTTCGCCACCGGATGCCTAGGTATTCCTCCAAAGGCAGCTAGTCGCTCCTGGGGAATCGGATCACTGCTTCTTGTTTACACTTTCACCTATGACATCACAGTCGGCCCCGTCTGTTACTCCCTCGTCGCTGAGCTGCCGTCGTCGAGACTTCGCCAAAGAACGATTGTGTTAGCGCAAAATGCCTACAACATCGTTGGGGTTGCATACACTAATATCATCGGCTTATATTCGCTGAACCCAACGGCATGGAACTGGGGAGCTAAATCGGCATTCTTCTGGGCCGGTAACTGCGCTTTGTGTTTTGTATGGGCTTATTTCCGACTCCCAGAGCCCAAGGACCGCTCTTATGCAGAGCTGGACATGCTATTCGATCAGGGCGTCTCCGCGAGGAAGTTTGCAACGACCTATGTCAATCCTTATGAAACCGAACGACGATCCGGCCAAGATTCTGATTCCAAGGGGAAGGTTATGAGTCATGTTGAGTGATTAGTTGATGTGTATATGTACCAGGCACATGGAATGTCGCGGTTCCAAGATTTTTGTCAGGCCATCTCTTGACCCTGTCTATGGAGATTCAGACTGGATGGAGAAGATCGTTCGGACGTTCGGGACAGTTTGGGGTTTAACGCATGCAGATGATATGATAGTTTCCATTTACGAGTTTGAAATTTAGTTACTATTTAATTCTTATAACATGTCCTCTAAAAAAGAAAACAAGATACAGCATGTATATCGCATCGATTATCTAAATAGGGAGAATCCCTTAGACCCCTGCAAATAAAAACATAATTTATTAATTTCTATTATATTTTATTTTATTTCTAGCTAATTAATAAGCTAGTAAATCTTTCTTAATTAATTAATTTATACCTAAAACTAATAAGAAATAATTACTAATATATATACCTAATAAATAAGAAATAAAACAAGAGCTAAATAGCTTACTATTATTTAAAGCCAGGCTATTATAGCTCGCAATTATAGGGGCAGCCTATTACATACTAAGTGTAATTTTATAAAAGTTATCTAAAAGAGACTGATAGCCTAATTAGTTTAATAAGATCCTATTATCTGCTTATTCTATTAATTAATCCTCAATCCTTTCCCGTCTCTGCCGGAAAACCTTCCAAGATTGTATAGAGCGTCGAAACTGCTCATTATAGCCATAGGTGATTGCATGTACCAGCCCAATGTATTGTGTAGAAGCCAGTAAGGCGACGAGCCATGGCGGTGATTTGCCTTTAATTTCAATGAATCGGTTGACCACTCCGGGAGTCCAGAGGATAAGGTATCCTAGTGGATAGCCGTTCAGCAACATCATTCTCCGTAGGTTCGGCGACGCTCTGTTCCACGCCGGTTGTCTTATGGCAGCAGCCGAGGCATTGGAAGAATCAGGCTCCGGGTTGCTGCAACAGTGAGCTTGGTTGCTCATGGGTGCTGTAGACGATGAACTGGTTGCATCATTCACGGTTCCGAGTTCATAAGCAACGGTAAGTGACGAGACTTTCATGATGGGCGGCCAAGCTGGAGTAGTGGCGTGCTGATTGCGCAAGGCTGTGTCTGTCGTGGTTATATTTGTTCCGTCGGAAGAAGCCCCTGAGACCCCGGAACGTCCAAACGTCCGTTTGAGCTGGAAATACACCGTAGTATAAATGCCCATGACCAAGAAGAATATGCAGAGGCGCCATCCAAAGGACAAGCTCCAGCGTAGGATAGGATACTTCGTTTGAATCCAGCACCAGTTGCCGCCCACCGGGCCATATGCTTGTAGTCCTAGGGCGGTGAAGCCTTGCAAAACAGTGAGTGTCAACTGCAGTCCATGTTAGAAAAATCACATACTGGTAATGATCCCTGGTATCCATGCACAAAGGCATATTAACATAATACCCCGCAATGACGAATCCTGTAGTAGATAGGCCTTTTGCACGGTGAGTAGAACCGTTATTGATATAAATAATATGTTAAAGTCAATCGTCTGCACTGTGAGTTGGCCCACCCACGCATTCGCGGTACATTGCCCTTTGGTTAGAACCTGGTCAAGTGGGCCATACTTAAGTGCCAGACTGCCTGATATAGTATTATTTATCATATCTGCCAAGTCTTGAGCGGGTTGTTAGAAGCCCATAAATGGTTAACCTTTCGATGGTGCCCGTACCGCATAATAGGAGATTGATAATAAGGGCGTGGCGAACGTGTCGACGTGTAGGAGGACATATCGCATGCAGGCTCAGCACTACTACTATGGCTATGGTTGACAACACAGATCCTACCAAGGTAGGCACTGTAATAGCCAGGTCGACGTGCGATGATGACATCCTGGGTGCCGGGTGATGGATCAACAGCAGACAGGGTAGGCTTAATCCTACACAGCTTATAAAGTAGCATCTAAACGTGGAGATTTCGCATAGACTAGCGGTGATTTGAAAGTCTGCGACACTTATGAGTTGCAGGTTAACTTATTATACGGCTGTAACTTGCGCTAAACCAGAGACATCTAGCTCTCTTTAAACTAGCCTTGCTTATCTACAGGGTCATATACGAGTCAGTAGCAGCATACCGTCCCCTACCGCCCTGAAGATGCGGCCGCAACTTACGCTAGTGTGTGCCGATCGTCTCGATAAGTACATGATAGCCAATTCAAGAGCCTATTATTAGATGCTATCAGCAGCAACATAGCCATACATAAGATCACGCAGATCCTTCGCAACACATTTCAATACTCTATTACAGTCCCCCTCGCAGAAAGGCTGCCACAGGGAACCATCCTTCCAGTCGCTTGGCGGACTAGGCAATCTACGCATTGCCAGGGAGGGCAATTAAAGAATCGCCCAACATACAAGATAAGCGAGTGGTACGTTGCCGCAAAAATGTGATATTCTCTGTCGTTGCTAAGGATCTGGGCATTTTAGCGCAACAAAGAGCCCTGTAAGCCTAGCTTCCTACTTTCCAAGATGCGTCTCGAGTTGATCATTAGAGTTATCTCAGCCTCGTAAATACCGATGTGTTTCTGCAATCCCTTTCGTCCCTGCCAGAGATAATCGTCCTTTGAAAATATGTACTTCGATGAATTTACTTCTATTCACCTTTCTACTACAAATGGGAACCTGGGTAGGGCTCAACCCAGTAGCTGGGCTATCATGACAATCTCTGGAAACATGTCAAGTTCCCAGTTAATAACTCACTAATTAAAGACAGCCAATCTTTGTCTAGGAAAAAGTCATCTCTGAGGCTGAAATCTCATGGCATTACGACGCTGAAACTTGCTTCGACAGCCCTGAATTGACCCCTCGCCGCCCTAGATACCAGAATGGTAGAAGCGGCATACCCTTCCCGGGGCCCCTGAGTGACACCTCCCAGAGTAGGGTTGCAGCCTATCAACTATCTCGGGGTTAATCCTTGTAGATAGTAGGGGTTGAGGGTTGTGAAACTAACTAGCTGATAACTAGAGGGAATAAGCTTTAGGCTAGTGATTACAGGTAATCAAAACACGGCATCTTTTCAGACGAGATAAGCTTTTGGAACCGCCGCCACGCAATCACCCACTTAGCCCGACGGGAGTTTGAGAGGGAGTTTACTAAGTCGAAAAAATCGCAAACACGTTTAATTAGTGTGCATTATACTCCATAATCACTGCAAGAACTACTTACATATCGGAAACCGATATTAGTGCTGTATCTTGCAGTTAATAACTTTACTACTGTGCTGTCTATAAGCCTTGGGTTAAGGTTAGGATAGGGTTAGTATTAACTATCTAAGCTATCTTTGCCCTGGTATTTTCCTTTAATTAAGATATAGCTAATAAGATAAAAAAGTAAAGATTTTCTAAGATATACGATAAGAGAAAGTAGATATAAGAAATATAATAAGGAAAAAATAATTAATAGTATAAGTAGGGACAGGGTTGGCAGGATTGTAAATATCTTAGTAAAATTTTAATTAAAGGTTAAGACTATAGTAAAAATTCTATACTAAATCCACTAATATAAAAAACTTAATATAAGGTAAATTAAATAATAGCCTAAGGCTTAATTAATTTATTTTAATTTATTTTAGGTATTTTAAATCTAAGTTATATATTTCTTCTTATTTTTTTTTTTTTAAAGGTTTTTTAGCTCTAGATTTAATTATTACTTAGTATATATTATTATAACCTTATAAGTAGCTTATAATACTAACTAATCCTATTAAATATAACTAAATATATTTCTACTATTTGCTTTAAGCTAGTTAGTAATCCTTACTATTTACTATTCTCTCTTTTTACTTTTTACTATATATAGTTTTATTTTTTCTTAATAATTAAGTCCTGCTTACTATATTATATTAACTTAATTTACTATTAATATAATTAATAATATAAATACTATTACTTATATAAATATAAATATAATTAAATAATTATAATAACTAAAGCCTTATAATAATTAAGGTTTCTAAATAAGTAAACTAGTTTATATTAGGTTTATGTTTATAAATTGCATAAGGCATAGTGCTAAGTATTATAAAGTATTATATCTCTTAATAATTAAATAATATATATTTGGCTTACTAATATAAATATACTTTATTAATAGCTACTAAGCTAAGTTTTATAAAAGTGTTAATAAATATAGTTTATATATTAGAAGTAGCCTTATAGCTTAGTAAAAAATAATAGTAATTTAAAAGTTAGATCTTTAAGGATTATTAGTAATTTATAATAATTTAATCTTAAAGTACTATAATTTAAGTAATTTAATAAAAGAAAATTACTATTAGGAAAAGGGATCCTTTTATAATTAGTAGAAATTATAAGGGCTATATAATATAGCTATATAAGTTATAATATAATCTCTCCCCTTTATTAGGTCTTGCCCTTAAGACCTATATATCTCCTTATTTTTATATTAGGCTTTAGTAAGTATTAACCTTTTTCCTTAGTTATTTCCTTAATATACCTTACTAATTATTATATTATAAAATCTTTAATTAAAATCTTATAAAATATTAAAATATATTTATTTAGTAGATTTAATTATAAAATTTAATTTTAATATTATATCTTATTCCTTTTATAAGGCAAAAGGCCTTTATTATAAAATAATTAAGTATTTTTTTTATTACTTTAAATATACTTAATAAAGTTAATTTTATAAATCTTTTAATATTATAATTACTTACTATATGTTATTTTTCTTATTATTATTGCCTTTTGCTAATTATTTCTTTTTTAATTCTTTATTTAAATTATAAGTTTAACTATTTAAAATAAGTAGAAAAGAAGGCTAAGGAAATGCTTTTAAGGCCTAATAAGAGGTTAATAAGGCTATTATAAGATTATCTTATATTTAATATTAAAAGTATTTATTATATAAGCAAGGTATTTAATTTATTATTAATAATATAAATTTCTTTATATATATATAAAAGGCAGAAGAAAATATATTAAAAGAATAGTAATAATCCTTAAAGGTTAATTTAAATAATTAAACTAAGATATTAAATAA